GTGACAGAGGAATTTGAAGCAATTTACTTGCCAGAGCTCAGAATTCTCGAAATATACACTTTGACAATCTTCTGCTCCTTTTTTCTGACACACTTAATTTTTCTGGGTGCCTGATTTGCAAGTCATACCGATTTAAATTTTCTTGCTTGCTGTTCAATTCACACAGATTGTTTGAATATACACTTGGTGTGTAACCCCTTTGCTATGATACACCTCTAAATTTAGCCCTGATGTCTTAGTTTTTAGTTTAAATGGATGTCATGATGTTCCATAAATTTTTCTCCTAGAGGAATTACAGGTGTTCATTTTGAAGCAGTTTGTACTATCAACTGTGTTAAAATGCACGATTTTTACACAGCAATGAAAAAAAGTTGGAAAATCCTTATATAAGATGGCTGCTTTTGTTCTTGAAATGACTGAACCAGACTGCCATCTATTGGAAAATAAATATTTTTTTTAATTAAACTTTTTTTTCAAAACTGAAACTGCTATAATTTGTTGTCAAAATTGATTTTGCAAGCAATCATACTTAACTCAGCTTGAAAAGGAAACACCTTAGTTAAGTGAACTGTGATACAATCAAGGATTTTCCTATATCTTTTTCCAGCTCATGTTTTCTGGAACATGTTTTGAAGCACAGTTCCTTTTCTGACTTGTTGAACAATCAAATTATAGGCTTTCCTGAAAGATTTCTATTTATCAAACAGAAACACTGTAGCATGTCAGCACTGAGCAATACACAAGTATAAAGCTTTCCCAGCTTGCCTATGCAGCAACTGTCAGGGCTTTCCATGTCTTTGCATACATAGGGGAACTACAGAATGTATTCAAGTCACAGTGACCAAAATAGGAAAAACAAAGACAGGAACTAGGAGTAAAAACCATTGACGCCACCGTCAAACCCCACCCAGCCTGAATATCTTTGAGAAAAACTAGGAATTCCAACTAAAATGATACCTAGCTGCATGTAGGCAGCTTCTTGAGCTCCCTCTGAAGTATAATCACAAAACTATGTTCAGTTTGGTCTTTAATTTCAAGGAGACAATGAACAGGGAGTTGTTGCCTGGTATGTTATAATATACATGTTTTAACGACTGGTGAAGATATACTAGGAAACATGGAATTAATATTTTCCATCAGAAGTACATTTAAACACAGAGTTGAGATTATAAAGTTTCCAGTGCAGCTTTAACTTTACTTCCTTTAGTTTATTCTTTATAATTTACTCTTCAAATAAAATAACATTAACTTACTCTTATCTAATTTTCTGCTATTCAGCAAACAAGCATTCAGTTTTCACCCTTTTCATTAAACATTCTCCCTATTCAGGAAGTTAACACAGTCTGCTTTTCTAGAACTCCAACATTTTCACAGTTTCTCCTTCAACTTTTGGAATGGAAGTGTCCTGTGCTGACATTTTTTTTCATCTCCAGATCTGTTTCATGTCTACACTGTGGTGTCTCCTATTACTCTCCTTACTTTTCCTTACTGCTCCATTGTAGACTCCCTCTCCCAGATGTTCATGTCTTATAGTTCATAAGATCCTGACTTTCAGATTTCCTATTCAGCTCTTCCATGTCCTGAGGAAACTTAGGAATCACAGCTAACTAGTAATTCGGAATTCAGGAGACTAAGCCTAAAGTTTTTAAATTTTTTTTTTTCACCTAACCTCAGAGCTGTGCAAACTCTTCTTTCTATTTGACTTTAAAATACTGTGAGCACATGAATCTCTGAGGTTTTAATGCCTTACGTCACACATCAGACACCTGGTCAATTGAAATATGTAAAGTAATAAAAACACGTAATGTTTTCAATGCAAAATTTGATGAAAAGAAGTAGTCCTTTATTCCAATCATTCCAGAACAACTTGCTGGGTGGCTGGATAACTAATTTTCTGATAACACAGCAAACAGAAAAATGGATTAAATTCTTTCCATAACCTAAAGACTTCCAACCACAACTTCTTCAAAAGAAAAAGTAGTATTCTACAAGTGCTGTATCACTAAGCAACAAACAATGCAAGACACCTGAGACCAGAAAAGGTACAGACTTTGCCTGTGAATAAGGCATTCAAAGTCCCGCTCTCTGGATTGTACTGGTATTTTTCCAATGGTTGTACAGTTCAGAAAGAATACTAGATGGGATCATAGCCTGATGACCAATACTTTATTTGGGAGACTATAAAACCAGTGTTAAATGGTTTTATGCCATGGAAAGAACTGAATGTCACTCTTCCAGATGAAGCCTTTTACTGTCAAGTTACTGCATTAAAAAGCAGGCATCCCCACTAAACAAAAACAGTGAGCCCTGCTCAAAAGAAAAAGAGATTGGTGCTTGAGATTCAGGAGAGAATTCCAGGCTATAGATCCCAATAGACACCACTTTCTGCAGTGCTAAACCAACCTAAATCTTATTCAGCCAAAGCAGTACCACAGGTTTTTTTGGCCCTTTCAAAAGAGCCAACTGCTAAAAAACCTGCTTTAAAATACACTCTGCTTCCTGATGCCTTCTCTTTCCCAAGCCCATGCTATCCTCAGGAGGTGGCTCTTGTTGCTCATTGGTCCAACTCCCTAAGTTACGATTCCAATCACAAATTTTACAGTCTTGGCCTCCTACTTCTCTGAACAACAGCAAGTTTCTTTGCAGGACCTCTCTAAGGTCACGAAGTGTCATGGTTTGATGTTTGGAACCTCTTCAGACCACAGGACTACAGGAAGTCAAAAAACCTGCACCAGTCATCATCTCTGGAACCAATATTTGTTCAGGACATGGCATCATTAACACATTATCACCAGCGACTTGATTTCTACACCTTTTCAGAGCAGATGCTGGCACAGCCAGCAATAAAAGTTGGGGGAAAACTGCTGATTTGAACCTGAAGTAACTGCTCACTCATGGAGGCATACCAGGTGCAGTTCTCAGCCCTATGTTGGAGCTGATAACAGAGAAAGGCAACACTTGGTTCTGCAGGCAAAAAGATTCTGTGCTCCAGCATCACCACACTCCTGTGCTGCCCCTCCCATGCGGTCTTGGCATGTGCAGCAGAAACAAATGCAAGCTGAACAAATGCAGATAACAGAGAAAAACCCACTTTACCTACTGAGATTTGTACAGAAGATTTCCCTGGAGGAGAAAACTAAAGTCAGAATAAGCTGCAAAAATCTCTCTTCTTTAATATATATCCAAGAAATCTGACTCCCCACATCTATATACATCTCCACTTCTTTCTCTCTGTATCTTCATGTTCTTACTGAAGAAATTTAAATGAATATTTATGTAGTATCACCATACTGTCACATGTCTTCCACAACCATGCTTGCTGGTCCTGCCCCCAGAGTAGTTTGGCAGCCTTCACCTTTGTAACCATTTTTAGAGCTAAACATATCTCTTAGGGCTTATTCCCAATTACTCTTTGATGGCTCCTTACAGTGCACGTAGGTTTTTGTATCACCCCTGCACTACAGAGGGAGTCTAAACACCAAGGGAAGGTAGCACTTCCCCAAAATTAAAAGACACCGTGCCTTCCATTTCTTGATGCAAGGCAGCCAACTGGCAACTAAATAGACTGAGTAACCCTAAAATACATTTCAAAATGAAATGGAGGCTATAGAACAAGCAGGAAAATCCCACATCCCAGCAGAGTCCTCTCCATACATGCCTGTATAGTTGGGTTTACTCTAGGGGAAAATATGTTCTGCCCTCCATCCTGACTTCATGTTGGGAGTATGCACCCATCATCCTGATTTCAGTTTTCTTAGAAAGAAAAGCTGGATGCATTAGGGGAGAGCCTATAAAATGCCTTAAACAGTCTCCAATTTTAAAGATTTGTTTTCACATCTAGTTCAATATAAAATAAATGAAATCTCAAAAAAATGTATTGCCTAATTTACCTTTGTATACCCCAGTTGCACATAAATTACAGATCTAGTGTCTGAATACTTTCTATTTACATTGCATTTCATTTAGGTCTGCAAAAATTTCAGTCAGAGTAGACAGATTCATATGGAATACATTTTCCGCAAAACAGCAGCTGAGCAGATTTAAATAGCAGTTACCACCTAAATTCGGAGAGATGCTAGAAGAGTGTCTAAAATGGTTAAATGGGATTAGTACCTTGTTCAAACTGAGTTCAATATGAGTTATGTATCTAAACATTCAAACATCTAGAAGGGCTGTACAAAAGTATCTACTGCATCTCAGGGCAGCTAACCATCTCTGTAAGTCTCATTTTTTCTACATACACTGTAACAAATGCTCCAGAACACGAAGTCCAAAACTTGTAATGGTTTTCCTCACACAGGAGAGCATAATTTTTCTTAATTTACAAACAACACTAATTGAAATTTAACGCTTAGCGTTCTTCCTCTGTTCTTTGCTTTATTTCCTGGGCAATCCCATTTGCTTATTGAGGAGGAGAATTTAATTAAAAAAAGAAAAAAAAAATGGTTTGTTACAGTAAGAAAAAATGCATCTTAGAGCACTTTATTCACTGTATTTGCAAATCACTGAAGTATAACAACCACAACAATTTTCAGTATTAGAGACTCGGCCTTCAACATCATTAGGCTACTGAGAAACCTATACAGCAACAAAATATATAAGTACTATAACTGAAGATGTTAAGCTGCTTCTTTTGGGAAGGCACATCTGATCAGATTCTGCAAACATTTAGTATTCAATACAGTATTGAGCATACCGATTTCCATTCATTTTTCAAAAAACACCCTTCCTTGTCCTCCCCATGCTCAAAACAAGTAACCCAAATGTTTAGTCATATTAGTGGTGTCATAAAAAGACATTCTGAGGTGTGGTAAGCAATATCTTTGTAAAATAAGGGGAACATTAGAGTCCAAATCTGTAAGAAGCACATGCTATATTACTTCTTCTATTACATTGTTAACCTTGTACTATTCTCACTCTTGCACTATTTCTTTCTTGACTGCGTCATAAATAAAGCAGATGTCACTGAATATATTGTCTTTGTATCCCATCTTACTTACTACATTAAGCTTGGTTTGGCTTCCACTGGTCATAAGTTCTTCCTCTGATACTTTACTAAAATTATCCAGATAATGGTCTGATATTGTATGAGACAGATCTTCAAAAGAGTATTCCTTTTCTTGACACAATTTGATTTCATCTAAGAGCTTTGATAATTCTCCAGTCACAGCTTCACCTTTAAAAACAGACACATTATTAGTCAGTAATTAGCATGCCAGGGGTAATTTATGCCTAAAAAGGAAATACACATTCCTTAAATTTATTATCTGTTATTTCCATGCCTTATCTTCTAAACAACAATCTTCATGCACAATTCTCCTCCAAAAATAATGGCATCTCACTCCAGAGTTGGAACTTACTAGAGGCAATCTATATACTTCTGCATTGCCCTATACGTTGCATTTAATTAGGATGAATTACAATATATACTTACCCTTTCTGTTTTCTAATCCTGAAAACTGTCTAGAAATAGCAACTATCCAACAATGTAAAATTAATCCAGAAATAGAAAGATTCTACAAACATAGAAAATCTATGTCCCATACTCTGCATCAGGTTCACCTTTGCTGCTGTAATTAATTAATATGCAACATAGGTTCCATAAACTGTGACTGGATTGGAACTGAGTTTCTAAGAGTGCACACCTGTCCCATCCAAGTAGCTATGCTTTATAAACAATTCTTGCTCACTTTACTAGGATTAAATGGAATGCTAGAAGGATATACTGGGTAAACCCACACGTTTAAAACATACCTCCCCACAGCAGCCTACCAGAAAACTATGTTTAGTGCATTCTGCATTGTGTTTCACGGTTTCTCCTTAATTTATCCAATATATTTAGTTAGGAAATCTAACAGAAGAGTAAGGCAATGAGTTTTATATGTCTACACTAACTGAGGGCCTCTCTTGGAAACAGTGGTAGTAGTAAGTCCTAGAATCAGACTGAGTCCACCAGCAGTAGCAAAAGTCCACAGACTAAAAAGCTACTCATTATGAACTGTATTAGGTTCTGATTACATACTGCATGTGTGTTACACAGCAGTAACAGCCACAAAAATACAAGTGATAACCAAGTTTTTCCAGGAACAAATAAGAAACCCCTTCTCCTGACTCAGTTTACAACAGTCATATTGTTGGAAACTACAGACTTGATAAAATAAAGATAATTCCATGTTACTCCATCTTTGGAAATAAAATGCTGAAAAGGAAAAAGAGAGTGAGCATATTAAGCTCAGCATACATAAAACAGACAAGTATATTCACGTCACTAAAGAATCCCCTGAGAAGACTTTATCTGCTCTGTCTGGGGTGCTTTTTTTTTTTTAGTTTTTCTTCATAGTTACTGTTTGCTATGCTTAGTAAACAAAAATACTCAAAAAGTATTTCTAAAATTAAACCCATGGCCAGTTATTACTAAAGTTTTCTGAGCCAAGAACAGTTGTTAATTAAAAACATTTAATTGCCTTTTAACATCTAATTAACAGAAATTTTGCATTCAAAACTTGTTACTCTCATTCAATGGTAACTTTGCACAAAACAAGTAAATTCAGCAAAAATACAATCAAGTTAATTTATACTCTGCTTTTTAATTAGAAAATTGAAATTAATCCATATTAATATTATAATAACTAAAAATTGAAGTAAAATACCTAAATATTAAAATCTACTATTAAAATCACGATACAGTGCCCTATGCAGAAACAGAACTACTGCTTCCTACAGAATTATGTCCATGTTCCCAATCCCATGTTTTCCTACATAAGCCCTGCAGTACTTCTTACTGGGCCAGAATGAATTCTGCATGACAAAACTGGACGGACCTGTGAGTGAGAGTGCACTAACTGACTAGCTGATTAGTGTCAGCATGAATACATATGACATATTTTGCCTGTCTTTCAATGTAAGTACTTATTAAGGTCTCTCTCCTCTATCTAGCTACCTACTTTCATGAAAGTCACAGAAAGTAATTGATACTGCTATTCCTCTTCCAAATTCGGTTTAAATTATTTGAAATTAGATTGTCAGAGAATGGCAGGCAGATGGATGGGAAACACAATAAAGTACAACTGCTCTCCTTTAGTACCAGATTGCACAACTGACAAGCAAAACCCAGCTAGCACGTTTTATATTATTTATAATTTGAAAGTGGAAATAAGGAATGTGAGATCATGACCTTATTGTTAAGAAGCAAAACATATTTTAAAAATATTTACTACTTCATTTCAGGAGAAAAACTTCTATAGCACATGGCAGTTGAATTAATCTCAAAGGAACTATTTATCTTCATACACCACATTATTTGTTAAGTACCCCAATGGGAAATATGATTGGAACTATAGCATTTGTTCACTATCACCATGAAGATCATAATGTGACATGCAGTAGGAAGCATAGCTTTCTCATGAATGAAAACTCTCCCTGAAAACATGTTTAAAAAAAAAATAAGAAGAACCCAGAAGAACAACGACAACAAAACACCACCACAACTCACACAACAAAAACAAAGAGAGGCTTAGTTATTTGCCAGCAGTCAATTACATTCACTCTGGATAACTACTGAGGACAGAAGTCAGGTTTGGTTCTACAAGAGGATGATTTTCATGAAAGAGTAGGATGACAGTACACTCAGAAAATGCCCTATTTTAGTGGCTGCATTTGTAAATGGAGAATTAGAACATATAACGAAAGCACATGCAGACAACAGCAATCACCACAGTGTATAAAAGCCGTGTGAGAAGATAAATGGAAGAACAGAACACGTGATCTCTGAAAGAGGCTTCCAAATGTAACACACTGGGAAAGATGAAGCAAATTCCATTGTTTACCCAAATGTGAACAATGCCTGCAGAGTACTTCGACATATTTAGTATTTTTGTTTTACTTGAGTATGAAATGTGTAAGGTCAGATAAATTAAAAAGATTTAAGATCAAGTAATGAAACACATTGTAATTCATCAGTGACTTGTCCTTTCTGAGAATACAGTTCCTTGCTCTTCTTCTAATGACGTGGATTACAGTGTATGTAGTCAAGACAGCTAACTGATGCTGGAAAAAAGCTTCTTGATATCAATAACTTTCCTATCTTTTTCATTTTGTATGTCTGTATCAATGTTTTAGTAACACAATTTTAATATTAAAGAAAATTTTGGTACAGCTTTTGCATCCACAGAGTACATGTATTTACTTTTAGCCTTTGGAGACGGAGGAACTTCTGGGGACAAAATGCAAGACTGACGTTCCGCACATTCCAGTGGGCGTTCCTCTGAAATACTTGCATTTCCTGTTTCCATATATTCTGCAATTTAAAGATACACATACGCTTAAATGACTGGATTAAGGGGGTTTATTTCAAAAGACATTTGATACTTCATTTTTCATAAAGCCTTTACAATTTTTCATACTACAACCTTGTATTTATTCATAAACACTGCTGCAAGGCAATCATTTGCTGAAAGTATTGCAAAGCACTGTAAGAGGCAGTTCTCTAATCTGCTGAAACTGTTACAGAAATCTCACGGTAAGAGTAATGAATTGAGACTATCCCTGTGTTTTTCCTATCTCGTTGAAATATCAGTTGTTCCTTTATATTCTTACCATTGAAAGAAGTTTTTATTCTAAACTTGTGCAGAGTTTTTAGCCAAGATATTCAGGATGCTCACAATAAATACAAACATTGATACTATTAAACCCCCAAATATTCTGCTTGCAGCACAAAGAGAATATATGAAGAGAAAAAAAAAAGAACACAGACTCAAAAATGTAGTTAAAACTTGCAGGTCAAAAAACGCTGTGCTAGAATTTCTGTATTTTTCCCCCCTTAAAACTTCCCTTGCACCATGTTCCCAACAATGTTTACACAAACAGAAAAACATGAGAAGATGAACTTCAATTTTATTCCTGTTCTTTTCATAAAAATATCTACAATATTTTCATGTGTTTTTGTACACAGGCTACCTCAATGGAAGACCAAGACTTAACGGAAAACCAAGACCTAATAATTAGGAATTAATATATGCAATAGTGGCACCTTTTTCCAGCACAGTGACCGATTCTTAGTTTTGGCAGTTATTCTGCATTTTTTTGCGTTTCTGACGTTGCTTAAACAATTCCATTCTGATATTGATAGCAACCACAATAGAACATGTTGCAACACACACAAAACTAAACTACAGCAACTGCTTTCATCAATATCACACTGAAGGACTAACTAAGGAGTTTCTGGGAACTGAAACCTCCCTGATTTAATTTCTACAGTCTACAATGCACTTGTTTAGCTTGCTGTTACTCATGATTAAATAACAAATCCCAAAACCCAAATACAATCTGTGATAAAATAGACATCCAAGAAATTCAAATTGGAAATGGCATAGAACAGCATACAGTTTCAGAATGCTTTGCAGATTGTTGGTAGGATTTTTTTTTTTTAAATGTATGATTTTAAAGTGCCATATATTAAGTTTGATGGTTGGAAATGATCCCCTGGATAATGTATTACATTTCTTCATATGAAAATTTTATACTTAAATTTTTTTGTGTGGTGTTGAAAGCAAAGAAGCAAAGATGAGCTGTAAGAGATCACGAGAAAACTAGCAGCATGACAAAATGCTCTGGAATGTTTTCCAGCTCTGTCAGCTATAGTATTTGTTAAGTTAACTTGTAAAATGGAAAAGAAATAAAAGGAAAGCCAGATCCAAAGAAAATGAAAAGAAAAAAGGAAATCAATTTGTGCCTGAAAATATTTGCTTGGTAATTATGCAACTGTCCAAAAGCAAACCTAAAATGAACTTCTGTCAGGTGTGAGTGTTACAATTATTAGATCAATACAGCTATTATTAGGAGGGGGAGTGAAGGGGAGATTGTGAAGGACTTTAACCTTGCTGTCATCATACAAGACAGTGGGTTTAAAATAATTCTCTATTTTTATTCTTTGTCAGGCCCCACTTCCAGACCAATGAACTTACCTGCTGGAGGCTAGTTCTGAGGAGGAAATTCTAAGTTCAACATGAGTCTCAAATACTTACTTTTAAAAATGCAGAGTTCTTTCCAGAAAACCTCTATAAATGTCTCACACAAGCTATGGTGTAAAAGGTTTACAACAGACCAGCAGCGTGCCATCCTTGTAAGGGTGCAACCCTTAAAAATTTGGACTCCTGTAGTACTTCTACTCCTAACTTGGTTTGATGCTATTGAAAATTCTACCAGGGATGTACAAGACAAAGACAGCAACTCAGTTGCAACAGGCTTTTAGCCTAGGCAAATGTATACTTACCCACAGTACTGGCAGAGAAACTAACACAAAACAGCTGATCCGTATGAAATGCCAAAGAGCACACATAAGCACTGAATGCTTTCACCATCAGCTGACTTCTATTCACCTGCAGATAACTAGGAGTTCATCTGCAAAGCCTGCCCAAACTTATTGAAAAAAGGTGATTCAAAACCATCGTTTGCTCTGGCTGTTGTGTGCTTGAGAGACTGCTCAGGTTTTATCACTTTTCCCAAAGAAAGACAATTCAGAACAAAGCCAAACTTAGTGAATTATAGCATTTCATGACCAGAACAATTTTCCCAGCTGTGCTCTCACAGAGTTTAAAGAAAAGACTCTCATTCCTACAATATAGGAGAGTAAAGGCTGTTTGGGGCGCAACCTCTCATATTCATAATGGGAAGAATGGACTATTTTACTTCTGTTTACCCAAACAGCAGATTACAGTTCAGTGAGGATTAATACTAAGAATTCCAAAAACTTTGCCTGCTTAGCAGAATTCTTTTCTATCAGATGTTGACACAGCCCCACTCAACCTAAATAGGGTCATGTGCACAAAAAAGTATTAGCATAAAAGTGGCCTTACAGCAGTGGAAATAAGAACAGCGGGGAACATAACCAAAGAAGGAAAGCTCTGGAAAGTTCAAACAGTTGGAACTCCAGATTTCTCAGTTTCTGTAACACTGTTTAGGCCAAAAGCCAAGCAGAAGGGAAAGAATAAACATGTAAGCAGAGAAACACAGCTGCCTCTCCACCATGAAGAGAGCATGGCCCAGCTCAGCTAGAGCGGCTGCTGAACCTCCAGAGACAGCAAAAGCATAACTTGCTTTAACTTCAGCACCTCTTAGATCCTAATTTCTCTAGTAAGGTAAGACTTTTGTTTAAATTACAAACCCCAGCTTTTAGAGTAATGGCTACATTCTCCTCAGAGAACTTTTTACTTTTAATGGAAAAAAACCCAATCAAAAAAAATTTTTTATTTTGGTTTAAATGAAGCATGAGCTCCTTTCCCTTTTGTTTTCAGACCCTATGTCAGCCATGCCATGAGTGGATCCACATAGAGTTCCTTCTAGAACAATCTTCTCTAAAGAGACCAAAAGTTTTTTTAAAACTCTAAAAAAAAAAAAAACCCAAAATTGCCAAATTTTATTAGAATAAAAATCTGAACACTCACCTTTTCAAACAGAAGACTCTTCAAGTAACTGGATCAGAGAAATAAAACTTGTTTAGAAACCACTCCCCTCCACAGTCGATAGCCCTGCAGGGGCATGCTTACTCCTCCATCACTCCACATCTTCGTGAAGAACAGCAACCTTCAGAAAACCCTCTGCCCTTCCCAAGGCTCTTCCAGAACCCGGCTGAGGATCCTGCAGCTCCACTGAGTCCTGTCCCAGCCTGGGAGTTGTCAAAAAATCTCTTCCCAGAACAGCTCACTTGATCCCCTGGGAAGGAGCCCACCCGAGGCTTGATGACTCAATTTCCCTCCCCTTTATAGCAGCTGCAGTGGCAGAAAACTGATTGGTAACTATTGTCAGGTGTGCTAAGGTCACAGACTTGAGCTGAGATGGACGTTGGTTGACTTCAACCTCCTAAATTTCAGAAGACAATTCTGAATGACTCAAGTTTAGTTTAATCCCAGAGAAACCTTAAATCAGTAGATGTGTTCAGGGAATTCAAACAAAAACAAGCACTGAAGTACCACTGTGATTCTGAGATAGTATGGTTCTAAGTGCAGCTAAACTTTCAGTTGCCAGAACATCAGCAGTTAAATTAATTCATAAGCATGTTAATACTCTACAGCTGTCACAGAAAAGCCTATAAAAGGAGATGAGAAGACCCTAGGAAAAAAAAAAAAAAAAAACAACACAAAAAAACCCCAAACTAAACCCACAAATAAAAAAAACAAAAACAAAACCAAAAACAAAACACAAACAAACAATGAAGGGGGACTGAGATCTCAATTATTTTCATCCCACACAGCTGTAATTAAATCCTTGACTGAAAGTCTATTCCATCTTTCCAGTGAGGCTGGCCTCCTGCAGCCTCAGGAAGATCTACGTGTCCAAAGAACAGGAGAGAGAGAGAGTGAGAATACACAAAAGAAAGACCGTGCTAATGACACCAAAGCTATTTAAGCAGAGAGGAGAAGAAAGAAGTCGTGGTTCTGCAGCTGCTTATACATTTTCTGTTTATGAATAATTCGGTAACAGGTACTAACAATGTTAGGTTTCAAAGCAGCTTCAGCAGAAGAGAGGAAACAACTTTCCATTGCATCTCCCTCCATACTGTCTCTGCAGCAGCGCTTACTGTGCCTTCCTGGGACTCATGCCATTTTTCATCTGTTTATCTACTATCTCCTTTTTTTTCCCATAAAAACAAGAATTCTGCTTCCAGAAATAGTAAAAGAGCAAGATTCTAACAGAGAGCATAGTGGGCTGTGGAGAAAGAGTTGAAAGACAGTATAGCATGCACCTGCGTCACGTTCACATGTGCTAAAAGTAAAACACAGCTGGTTGGTTTAATTTTAGGCCTACTAGCCTTGGCAACATCCCTTTTATCTTCAATGCCTAATTATAAAGTCCTAAGTGCCAATACTGTTAACTGCTTCAGCACTGAATGCTGTTGTTTCACTGCACCCATGAAATGCATTCAATAGCTTGGCCTTACTTTGGCACAGTATCCTAATTCTCTGTTCTTCGAGTACACAGTGCCTATGCAGCTATTTCTTCCTAATCAAATTAAAAATCTAAACTCTAATAAGTATTTTTCAGTGAGCTCAATGCAACTCAGACCTGAGAAAGACACTGAAAATGAAGCGACGTGTATGAAAGATATGTTCAGAATTAAAACTTGAACTGTCATTTCTGTTGATTCCATCTATAATTAAAAGGCAGTAAAAAAACCATTCACGTTGCATATAGCTTATTCAGCCTTTTTCACGTTGCTCTTTAAAGTGATTTCTTAATTTATTTTCTCTCTATCAGATAATATGCCAACATCTCAAAAAATGGCAGACTTTCCAAACACAAATATTTTTGCAGAAACTTCCATTGCTATTTTCTCAGGTTAGTGAGAAAAGATGTAAAGATCACAAAAACCCTAGGATCACTTCTAAAACCTCACCGGCCAAAGGTTTTGTTTCTTTTAAACCCATAACCTGTAAAAAGTAGTTTTCTAAATATCCTTTTAAAAAGGGAGAACAATTTATATCCACAATTCTTAAATTCTGTGAGGGTATTCATTCACAGCTGGCTACCAGCCCCAAAGGTTTTAGGATCAGCTCAATGGATTTTGCATTACTGTCTCCATGAACTGCTTCTAAACAAGGAAATTACTTTATCTTCTTCAAAGAACATTCTCATAAATATCCTCAAAACCATTTTCTTTCTAAATTTTCCTTATAACTCTGTTATCCCTCTGCATATCGGGGGGAAGAACCATCGGGCCCACTGACAATACCAGACACATGATTTCCTTGGTCATTTCTGCCAGCCTGTTCATATGCATCTTTCAGCCTATGTGGAAAGCTAATGTTTTGTGGCAGGGACAAACATTAAGTTGTTAATGCTATAAAATGTGCAGTAACACTCACAACAGTGCAAGGGGAAAACAGTAAAAATTAATGAGAATGCTAGGTGATAAAATCTTACTCTATCCTGGCAATAAGGTGAAAGAATAAATTCAATGACATTATGTCTGCATAAAGAACAAAATTAGCAAGAAACATACAAAATCTGGCCCAGTAACTGTCTGACACCATTAATTTAATTTCTTTTTCCTATAAGTCTACATGAAGGAGACACATAAGCTTCTCTAGACAATCATCTAAGGACAGCAGCTTTAATGGGAATGGAAGCCACTAAATCTCTTCTAGTAATTGCTCTTTTTTTTTTTTTTTTTTGCATGGAATTCATTACCCATCATTGAGCTCAATTACAGTACATTCAGGATTCCCAAAATCTCAGTGCTTCACTAACTTTTCAGCTACAATAGGATAAATACCCACACTTCAGTGAAGAGTATACTCAACTGGCTTTTTAGAGGAGAGCGGGTCAACTGTATCATCAGTAGTGCTAGTACTGAATCCTACCACTCCTGATTTTATTTTTCAACTTCAGCTCATGGTTCAAACTTTATCTTTGATGGACAAAACTTCAGTGAACATTTTGCTGATGAAAAAGAATCTAAGTGGGTTCTAAGGGAGTTCGGAAGGGGCTCCTCAGGTTGTCTTAAGAGTCAGAATGACATCTTTGTAACATTTTTCATCCTTGTGCCTCGCTTCTGACTATAAGGCAGACAGAGCAAAAATAAACAGCTGCTCATTACAAGCACAGTTTCATCACCCTAATATGAGTTGAAAGTACTAAGCAGTCATCCTATTACTTTCAAGGCACACATTTGAAAAAGATTCTATGTCAATGCATCAAAAAGCCTTGAAATTGATATATTTCCTTTATGTGTGTGTGTGTGGCAAAAACTGAGGGCAGGTACTGATCCATCAACATAAGAAACCCCTGAGAGGTGTTTGGGTGCTTTATTATTCATAGAGCAAGGGTACTTTGAAGAAACTGTTCATCACTGGGATCGAGATTGCAAGGTTATCACACTAAGGAGAAAATGGAACAATAAAGAGACACTAAAATGAAAATTAGTTTAGTTGGTGATGGAAATTCACGATAAAACCTAGATTACTATCTGGAGGATGATTGATTTGGATGTCTAAGAAAGTGGAAGCTCTGACTGACCCTTCTCCGCCCACTGAAGAAGTTTCAGTGTAACATTAACTCTCTTTCCTCTAGATAGTGGTATGTTCATGCTGCAGTTGAGTGAGGATATAAAGGTTGAAGCTTGAGTCTGAATCTGAGTGAAATTAGGAACTCCCTTCTGCTGACAGGGGGAAGCCCTACGTCCCTCATCCATATCCTCCTCCCCATTTTTTGATTCTGCCAGATACCTGGGACAGAGCTAACTCCGGGACCTGGATCACATAGAAGGCAGGCTCATTAAAACAACTAAGGAAAGGCCCAGTGTGGCCACATGACCTCATTTTCTCTAGGAAATGCTCCTACAGTTATGCAGGAGACTGAAGCATGAGCTAGTTCATATGCAGAACCACCACGGAACTGATTAAAATGGCTTTTTTAAAGGTGAGATAATCAATACAGGCGGAGATGCCGCAATGATACCTGCAGGGAACTCCTCCGTCAAACACAGTTAATGAAAGACTAATCTGAAGATGTAGGAAAAAATTTCATAGAGGAGAATAAATTATGTTTAACACTGAGTTATGTCCTAATTCATGCTTCATCACTTTACTGCCATCTTCTAGAGTAAAAACCTGAAGTAAACAATGGACTTCCAACAGTCTCACACCATGAAAGAAAGATGAGCAATAAGAACAAAGGTATGTACAAAAAACAAATAAAGGCATTATTTCTGCTATAATAACAAGCGATACTGCCTGGTTTTTGTTGAGGTTTTTTGTTTGTTTGTTTGTTTGCTTTTAATTTAAGGAAAATGAGAAATATAATGAAATGTTTTGAGAAAATATCTTTCAGTCATATAGCTGTCATTTATGAATGAATTGAGCATTTCAGTTGTAGGTTATCATTACAATTTAATAAAAAATGGAGTGAAACATTACAATATGTTATTGTGTAATGAAGAGTAACTAAAAGTGACATACCATGCTAATTTCTATGGTCCATAAAAAAGAACGGGTTGACTCTGAATTTCAGATACTGAACCATTTATTTTTGTTCAACTAGTAAACAAGAATGTTGTATTTTTAATTAAAAAGACTGTTCTTTTCTATAACAAAGTATTTAAAGACTAGAAATTACTATATACCTTAATATTTCCCCATGCTATTCTGATTTGTCTCTAACAAATGTATAACTGAATACGACTTACCTTGAAGTAGAGCTGCAATTTGAAGTGACTGCTGAGATGGATGTTCTTTAAGTATATCCAAAACCGTTCTACCCAAACTGTCCTTTATGTTGGTATCTATTCCTGAAAAAGAAAATGATCTGTGGTGGAATTTTTAACTCCAAGTGCTTTGGATTAGAAATGTGGTGTATCAGATTCAACTATCTGGCAAATTCAAAGCAAGTGGTTTTACAACTGTAGCAGATTAACAGCTGCATTATAGTTGAAGTACAGCAGACTCTTTAAAGCTTGAGTAGCCTAAAATTCACATGCTGACATGGATGGTTTTTATGTTTCTGTAATTCAAGGGGATATGAAGTAAGCTTCTTAAACCAAATTTGGGATTATTTTAACAGGCATCCTGAAAAGAATATTTCATGAAACCAAGAAATTCTCTGAATGTTTTTCTTATGTTCCTCTCCAAATTGCTTTAATTCACTGGGGACTTTCTAGTTGATAGTACCAGTATGCGTTTTGGGAGCAATACTGCAAGGTAATAGATAAGGCTATACAAAAGGAGAAAAAAAACTCCTGCTGGTTTCCTGGAAGACCCCAGCTTCTGGGGAGACATTCCCAGAAACTAGTAAGTGGACTAAACCGAAGAAAGGAGTGATATGAAGATTAACACAGCCTTTTTTTCCACAAACCAGATGGGAACACAGAAAAATGCCAATTTGTCTATCATCCCAAAATTAGTTTATTGACTATAGCCCCTCAAACTGCCTAAGAAAAAAGGTATAGAAAGAGATTGAACATAAGCAAAAACAGAGGAGAAGTTCCATCCACACTGCAAGAGGCAGCTGACAAGCTGGTCCTTCTCCCTTCACTTCTGTGGATGCCTGGAAGGTGAGACATATCTTATCCATACTAATTACTTGCCTATAAATAACGAGAGTTTGCTTTTGCTTCACAGTATTCTTAGTAAATTGCTTTGCTTTAAAGTTTTTGCTTATGTTTTCCTTTATTATTATTACTACAAGGTTTAAATGTTTTTGCACTTAGACCCTATTCCAGATAAAATGAGCCCTACAAATTGTCACAAATTTGTATTAATAAATGTGGTATTTTGTGAACTGTTAGAGTAAGTTTGTTTCTAGGTGCTGACAGTTATATCAACAGTGAAATAACTCATAGGAGAAACCTGCTGAGGGGTTTCCCTATCACTATTTAGTGTAGTCTCTCTAAAAAACAGTATCAAATGTCCTGTCCATCTCGGCGAACCTGTTAAGCGAAGTGTCTCACCTGATGAGATGCTAACAGACTGTTTTGGACGTTAAAAGGCTTTGATCTCCTGGGGGAACACTGATAGACACAAATAAATTAATACAGGTTGGACAGAAAATTCTTCTTTTCTGCCCCTTTTTAGTGTGACAAATACGAAAATGTTTCTAACTTTATCTTAATAAAGTTGTAGTTCATGGCAACATTTTTGAGATTCATGCTCTGAATGGACTGAAATAATCATGTATAGTATGCAGGCATTGGGAACAGCTACAACATTTCCTCATGGACTGTTCAGACTGCTGACAAAGTCACTGGCTCAAACTGTGAATGTAACCACTAAGTTTAAGGCTTGCCCTGAATCAGAACCTGTTGTACATGATAGTGCATGACTCTCTACCTCTGTCTTGTAGGGTTACCTCAGAAATGTTTGCCTTGTGGTAGAAGACTCAAGTTGTTTTTTAGTTTGGATGTACTTTCATAAGTAAAGGCATGAAAAGTCCTAACAGAGTGAAATTCTTCTCAGGACACTGAACAGCGAAGATCAGAGGAAGCAGGATTTATAAGCACATTCTGAAAGCATTCACCAGAAAAGGCTGCAGTTCTAGTAATTTCCTAATCCAATGGATAGTTTCCTAGTTTGTTTTGTACGAAAGAGATTTTTTTTTTTCTCAGTGAAAATAAACCCAAAATATTGCTGGGCTATTTAGCAGTGGCAGCTGACTTTCAGAGGCCAGACACACCAACTTACACCTCTCCTTTGCAGTAGCTACTTATAACACCTTCTGAGTCTTTTTGAAGTAGAACTAGAGAAAAGGCATTGTTAGGTAAAAAAGGAAGAAGGTGGGAAGTGTTGCAGAAGTGCAGAGCATTTGGGGTTAAAGGAGTTCACCATGAAGATTCCACTATCCTGTCTTGTATAATTATATGCTGGCAAAGGCTGTAACATGTATTAATCTGTAAGAGGTGTTCTTTTTCTGTAGTCTAAAGGGCTTTCTATGTTTCTGTGATGGTCTCCAGTCCTTCCTTTTTTAGGAAATAAAGAAGTGAAGATCCCTTTCAGCCTCCTTCTTATTCATCCAAACAGAAAAGCAACTTGGAAGGACTTTTTTTTTCTGAAAACAGTTCTCAGATCAGGTTGAGATTCAGATGAGGAGCTGTCATTAGGACATACCTTCTTCTGCAATACATAATTAACCCCACAAGCACTGATAATAAAGACCAACAAGACCTCTCAGCATAACAGAAGCTCAAGTATCAGCGAGAAGGTATTTCTAAATATTTTTATTTTTGTTGATCTCATTTGTCTAAGATGGTTGTCCAGATGAGACATTTACCTGCAAAAAACATCTGAAACTCTTATTATGCAGTAGATGAGTTTGTTTGGACTTTATATCCCTGTTCTTCTGTCCTTTTAGGACAAATGCAATTCTCAGAGACACAGTGCCTCCCCCTTTCTTCACAGGGACTCAAAGTTTATCCAGGAAATGAAGGAGCAAGCAAGATGATGTGTTTGTTAGGACTAGCTAACAGACGGAAATAAATGTGAACATGAGTATTCTGGTCTCTACATCAAAGAATATTCTTGGCTGCCTTTCAGAGTGAATAACAAAATTTTATGAAGCCATTTTGTTCTCAGAATACATTTATTCTCAGAATACAGTGGCATACACTGAGTCATACACAGAATTTACGAGTCTTAGTGCAATCCCCTTTGTTCTCTGCAATGGCTGATAAAAGTAATTTGAATAACCAAAAGTAGAGGAGGCACACAGAGATTAGGAAAATTAAGAGTATTTGTTCAGTGTTTCCTGTAAATCAGATTTACCTGTTTCAAGCAAAATGCGTACTACCTCCACCTTTCCAAATAGGGCTGCTTCATGTAGTGCGCTCCCTTTTTCTGTCTAGAAAAAGAAATATTGTGACATTTAAAATGCAAATTAAAATACCAATGAATCTTTTTGCAAAGAATACATTATGAAAAGAAGTATTTCATTTATAGAATTTTCCTCTCTATTTTACCTACACACAGAAAACACTGAATGGGCAAGAACAAATATTACCATTTTTTATTATTATTCAAGATAACAACATAAATGTTGTCAGTTCTACTATAAAATTAATAACTATGTAAGAAAATATAGCAGGAATGCAATACAATTCCTATAACAGGCAGTGAAAATCTAGTCAATACCATCAGTATCTTCAATATATCAGCTGCTCAGCAAAGTCAGACAGTTTACATGTGGATATCTACAATTAGATACTTCAACGTGAAACTGAATCACACCCTAGAAGGTCAATTTAGTTGCACAGTGAGAGATGCCCCAGGATATCCCACCTGGCCGACAGCTGATGATTCAGCTGATGCTCACATTTGATCTGCCTCACATCTGCCTCATACAGATGCTCTGCATACCCTAAGGCACCTCCAGCAGCATTAGATGACTATGTTTGTAACATTTAAATTCTACCTTAGATGTTTGTGAACTTAATTTTGCAGGTTTCTTTGACCCAAAAAAGAGCAGACTTTTGCTCAAATAAAATTTACAGTATTGAAAAACAAGCTGCCTCTCTTAACAAGCTACTTTATCCTGCTGACTGTAACTGAAAGCTCTGAACAGCACATCTTTCCATACAATAGCATTAGCACTAGCTAAAGCACTACTAAATCTCACTAAATATCTGGCTTATCTCCTTTTTTGATAATAAATTAGATTTTGAGATTTCTTTATGGGCAAATGTTAAAGGTTTTACTGCTTGAATTTGTTTTTTCCATATTTTAGCCAAATACACCCTTGTCATACTCACTATGGTGGAAAGACTTTAAAGGCACACACACACACACACACACACACACAAAAACAACTCTGAAAGAATACAGTGATTCATTATTAATTACTTGTGTCAGAATGCATCAGAATCACAGCAATGACAAGATATTTAGAAGTAATCAGAGATCCTGAGATAAAGTGTGAGCACACTGTAAGTGTATAAATGCCCTACCAATTGAGCCCAAAAAGTCTTTCCTATGTCCATAATAGGAACGCTCACTTTTTATCTTTCTTCATACTTAGTACGTGCACATATAAAGTAGAGGATGCCCAGTGATATCTACATCCCGTGCATCAGGTTTACTGACAGTATAACACAGGAGAAGGAAGTCAGTAGAGAATGAACATATGAAACACATCTCTCAAAACAATTTCTAATATATCCATTTTCAGAAGCAGTCCAGATGAACATTTACAGGCTTATTCTGAACAAGACTAAATATTCAGATATACTGAGGATAAAGGATTTTGAGGTATCTTTTTACAAAAGTATCCTTTACAACAGTATCCTTTACTGAGGTAAAGGATTTTGAAATTGTCTCTAAATATTCAGATATTTCCTTATGGCAAGGAGGACAACACAGAAGAAACAACGCAACCTAGTGCAAAAAATTGTCTCTAAATATTCAGATATACTGAATATTTAGAGACAGTTTCAAAATCCTTTACTCAAACAATATCTACAGGATATTTTCGTTACTGCAATTGACCTCAACATAGGCTAACTGCAAAGACAGTGCAACCACAAAGGTACACACAGAGACTTCAGTGCAGCTCAGAGATTTCTGAGAATAATAATTCTCAGAAAAGTCACTGAACTAAATAGTTCCAATTACAGAGAGAGGCTTGACATCAGCAATCTTGAAAAAGACTTTGACACAGCCTATTATTCTCTAAGTGTCATACAGCATTTCCTATGGATCAGTCACTTGAATAAACATGAATCAGTCACATGAATAAACCTCAAGACTATTGGCTGGACCTGGTACTATTTACAGAGTTCCCTGTCATCAAGGAGGAGTGTTGACAGCAGGTCAAGAGGAGACCTTCCCTCCTGTTCACCACTGCTGAGTCCACATCTGAAATACTCTGTCCAGTTCCAGGCACTCCAGTGCCAGATGGATATGAAGCTACTAGAGGGAGTCACTAAAATGATTTAGAGACCGAAAAATCTCTTCTAGGAGGAAAGACTTAGAGAGCTGGGACTGTTTAGCCTAGTCAAACAAAGGCTTATAGAGGACCTTGTCAATGTGTACAAATATCTGCATGGAGGGAGCCAGGCTTGGGCACGTCCAGTGACAGAAGAGATAATGCGGAAAAACTGACACACAGTAGGTTCTGTTTGAACGCAAGGAAACATGGTTTTGCTGCGCAGGTGACTGAACGCTGATACAGGTTGTCCAGGAAGGCTGTAGAGTTTCGGTCCTTGGAGATACTCAAAAGTTGCTTGGACCTGGTCCTGGGCAATTTATTCCACGGGATTCTGCTTGAACAGGGTGGGTTGGACCAGAAGACTTCCAGAGTTCCCTTCCAACCTCAAACATCCTGTGATTCTGCCAGGGATAATAACTAGGGATGTATACACCAACAATGAAATCCACAGAGGTTCAATTGTTACGGGAGGCCTAAGCACTAAATTTTAGTTCTGTGAGAATGAACTGCAGAGATGGAAACCAGCCACACCTTGACTAAAATTGCAGAGGTCATTCTGTACTAATAAGGAATGTTTTCAATGGAAAAAGTGGGCATGCTTTAGTAACAACAGCTATCTAGAATCCATTGCTGTAGGATGATCTGAGACTGAGAAAGATCAATGTTCTGGCATACTAAATCACCGGCTTTGAAGATGAGGAAGAGGATCTATACTTAGACTACTCAGTTAAAGGGTGGAAAAGATCCTGGTATGATAATTGTCACTGGCAGCAGTCCTTTCTAAATCAAAATTCCCCACTGGAGGAAAGGTAAGCAATATTATCCTTAATGAAAGCATACCTCTCATAAGAAATGGATGAAAATGAATATGAGAAGAGGAAATTTCCTGTAGATGTCTAAGGCAAACAAATCTAAATTGAAGGCCAGAAGACAGCTCTGTAAAAATGAACCGAAAGCTCTGCTGTGCACAAAGGAGTACCAAACATTAAGCCACCCCTACATATGTAATTCATAGTGTTGGGAGAGGAATTCAAAGCCAAGCGCCAGTTTTTATCCTTATATACTTTCTTGCTTCTTGGTTTATTCTACCGTGATATTTCCTGTCATATCTGAACACGAACCTGAAATGCTTTACAGGCATTCTGCACTGCCCTGCATTCTGGAGCAGCCTATGCCTTACAACTCTGAGCTTTCAGACAAGGCTAATGAATGTCATATCCCAGAAATGAGATACATATTACAAACAGTCTACTCAAAAGAGGAATTTAAAAGGCACACCATATAAGCAGTGCAATGATCTGTATGCTTTAAAGGTGATTCTCTAAAGAAGAGGGGAAATATTACTGTGAAACTGAACTAAAATCAGTCTGAGAATATGGAGTTTGAAAGTATACTTGTAAGATGCAAATGTGTAATCCTGCATAAGATGTCACAAAGATGAATGCTGACATAAATCTTAAAAGCCCTAGGCAGGATTTCACGGTAATAGTGAATAACTAACAAGTGAATCAGATCCCTCGACCCAAAAACTATCCAGAAGGCAGAAATGTCCTTGTTATCAGAGAGTTCAGTTACCAAACGCTGTTTTAACACAGAGAAAATGCTGAGCCTCAGGATGAACAGGGCCAAGAGAAATTCTGAGGACTGGCTGAGTAGATACATCTCTCTTTGTAAATGTACATGTGGCTTACTACTTGAAGGTAGAAGTGAGTTCTAGAGGAGTATTTGCTTCTTGTGCAACAGAGCATGTTACACAAACCACAAGAATTAAGAAATACAGTTGAAAATAATTTCTGTATATTATTTAAGATGTGACAGAACTTTTAGGTATATCTTTTTTGCTTACAATGGCATTCTAGTGCACTCATACACTCCTCTTGTCTATACTACAGCAAGCGAGCTTAAGATTTATGGACAATATTCACTGCTTTACTTCCTGAAGCTTTCATCGGCTTGGATCTTATGTTTCTGGCAAAGTGAACACTACTATTATATTTGGAAATTCTTTCCCATTGATACTTAATTCAAAAAATGCTGGCATTTTTCCATAAATACAGTGAGCTAAAGTCTGCTTGAGTTTGCATGAATGGCTTACATATTGATTCCCTGCCATAAGTTTTCTGTATATGAAATACAGAGAACTAAAGCACAAATTGTGCTAAGCATATAACAAAACAGTACCTGCCTCAAGTAGCTTACAGCCAAATGCAGGTGCAATGTCGCAGCTGGACAAACAAAGCAAGCAAGGATAGAAGGACATTGTCATTAGAAACACCAGGATACACAAATCAATACAGTTTTCAGGCTCACACAGAAGCATCAAGGGTTTTAATAATGACATTTTTTTTTTAAAATCATGCAAATATGCAAAAGCTTTTAATTAGGCCACTTGTTTAGTTCTTATTTATAGGCAGTTTACTATAGTTTTTATATTGATTTCAGGCAGAACCTGAAAGACAGAATGGTGGCTTTGCAAACTGACTCACAGAATATCTTCCATACACAGTGACATCAGAAAGGAAGGGGCACAGCTTTTTGCAGGAAAACTACAGTGATAAACAGTGGAAATTACCATCCTTATTGTAACAGACAGGGAATGCAAAAAGGGATAGATGAAAGTTGGAAAAGCAGAAGGGGCCAAGTTTTTAAGGTATTTACAATTATTAAACTACTGTTTGCATGAAACAGACTGGAACTGTGCAGTATCTTATTTTACTGCTATCTACTAATCTATCACTCACCCAAAACCTGTGTATTTTTAATATGTTTCAATTTAAATGAAAACTTCAAAACATGAAGAGATGAAACAGATTTGCCCAATTCTAAAAAATTTCTGATTGAAGGATATTGGATAGACCTGGGAAGTGAATGTGTGATTATTTAATTCAAAAATTAAATGCTGTCTTTTATTAGCCCAAGTATTTGTTAATATTAAAAGTGCTCAGGGAGTGCAGAAGAGAACAATAAGATGGCTAAAGTAAACTTTCCATTTAAACAAATTTATCTACAATTACAGAGTGACAGGAGACAGGATACTTCTATAATCATCTCTGAACATTATGAGAGCTCTTTACTTGTGATAAACTGAATTAATTTAACATGTATGAACTGTGTACAGTTTTATTTACCACATAAGATCTTACTTTGTGTATTGTTCTTTCCCAATAAGTGATGCAGATCAACTTAATTAATAATAAAAGTCGAGTTCAGTTTTAAGTAACAGGTTGACTGCATGTTCTACTCATTTTAATTAGCTGCCAGTAATCATCAACAGAATTTTTCAGAGACTATAGAAGTAATAAGTCAACAATATGTACAGAGCCAAATTGCCAATATGCTGAAATGTTGAATGAAAAGGAACATATTGATAGAGAATAAGTATACTGGTGAGAAAATAAATAAGTGATATTTCCTTATGGCAAGGAGGACAACACAGAAGAAACAACGCAACCTAGTGCAAAAAATAAAATTCAATAAAATAAAATAAAATAACCTCTCTGACTCTGAATAACTATAGAAAAAAACCCAAGACTATAAATTACTTAAAAGCAATTAGAATAAAAATAAATTAAAAACCAACTAAGCCTCATAGTTTTAATGGAGGTGCCAAACATAACGCCATTACTAAAAGAATCTCTCGTTTCTAAAAAGAAAATTGTAAAAAAATATTCAGGTACTGTATTTTTTAAAGGCCAGTGAAAAACTTTTGGTATAACTATAGATAAAAATGGCTTAGGAGAATTCACAGTAGTGCTAAAATTATCTAGATTACATAAGAGGAAGAACACATTTCATAAAAGCATTGTGTAATATTTTGCCCTCATGTAACCATCAGTCTGTAAGTTATCATGACAGAGACTATTTTTCTTCAATTATTCTGTCTTAAATATCAATTCAGGCATCAGTTTCTGACCTTTTCCTCATTCATTTGCTAGAGATAGAAGAGAATTATACATTCAGAAACATGCATTTGAGAGTTCTGTGTTGGTGTAGCACTGAACTTTTCTAACTTACTGAAGATGTAGTAAAAGATAGATTAAAAAAAGAGCTGCTTGTATTAACCTTTGCAAGTGTATCGCTTTCTAGTAAAGAGAATCAAAATCAAATTAAATTGAAATCATAACGGTAGGCAAATACTCAAGTAAGTAAACCACAGGTAAATGTTTCACTTTAAAATAGTTTGAAGCAAGTAAAAATGCTAACTCAAAACATACTAGAGATAATAAAAGTATTAAAACAATTTTACCACATTTTATTCGCAAGGCACTTAAGAATATTCATTTTTAATCTTAAAATATCCTAATATTTTATGGTTTGCTTTGTTCTTTGTTTTTTATTTTTTTAATCTGTTTTTGCTTTCTCAGTACATATGCTTTTTCTTAAAAGTTGAAAAACAGGGCCTTAATGGAAGAATTCAAAAATGAAAATACATGGAATCCAGGTGCAATCTTTCTATATAAAAGAGAGTTTTATGTACAAAGGTGTTTGATTAAATGCACATAAAGCTTAAAATGGGTATAAATTTAGGCAAAGTTTAGGCAAAGTTCCCAAGATTTTTTAAGTGGTAGAGAATGCCTGGATGTGACTCTAAACTAGATGTATTATGTTTGGTTGGTTGGTTTATCTGAAAACAGATACAAGCCTGAAACAACCTTAATTCAAAGTATATTTTATATATATATATATATATATATATATATATATATATACACACACACAGAGCAAGAAAGCTACTTTAAATCTGAAGATAAAATACACTTTAAACACAAATATAGTGCCGTCAATTAAATCAAAAGAAATCATAAGATTTAGGCAACATTTCACAAATAACAGAATCTGGTCCTCTGTTGTTAAAAGGCTTGGACACTTTCCAGTACAAAGAATTGAACATAAAATTTACTGCTGCTGTACCTTTTATCTGTTCCAAACTATTCCTATTTTATTTAAAGTTCCCCCTTTTATGTTATTATAAGTTACTGTGCATAGAACTAGATGCACCAAGCATCTAACAGCTTGGAGTCAGTAGCTGAAAGAATAGAATATAGAATACAGAATACAGAATTATAGAAATATAGAAAATATAGAATTTTCTTTCAGATTTAGACAACAAGTTAGAAATGCAGAAAATCAAAATGGTTATTACCTCTTAACTTTGGATTTAGCATGGAATAACCTTAGGAAAATGAGTTATCAGTCAAACACTGTTTCAGATTGCTATGACCATGAAAGGCCATAGCTCTAGCAAATCAGTTTGGTTATCATTACAGCCACTATTGTAGAAAATATAGTTAAATACACCTACATGAACAGTAGATACGATTTGTGTATCTACATGTCTCAAGACAATATAAAAATATGCACTCAGCTTTGAAGGCATGCATCTTTCTTGAGTTACCCCTTTGAACACATCATTTGCAATGTAAAAAATAAATCTGTACTATATTTCACCTTGCAGCATTTCTAACAAAGTAAATGCAAGTGTATTTTAAAGAAAAAATTATAAAGGAAAGGAAGGAAGGAAGAAGGGAAGAAAGAAATTACACACTAACTTGGCAACTGACATCCATTCCAGCCTCCAGAAGCACCTGTACGACAGCTTTGTGGCCATTACGTGCAGCAAGATGCAAAGGAGTGTGTTTTCTTGTATTACAGTTCATCAGGTTTGGATACGCTTTAATGATCATTTTTACAACACGCAGACGTCCATAAAGTGCTGCGAGATCCAGAGGTGTTTCCAGTTTGTTGTTCCTTATTGTAGGGTCTGTCAGCTCTTCCAACAGAACAGCAACAACTTCTGAATGACCGTACTGAGCTGCACAATGCAGTGCTGTTTCATTTTCATTGTTCTGTTAAAACAAAATAAAAGCTTCAGAAATTCATGTTTAATCACACAACAGAACTGTTCAGCTTCTATAAATTGCCTCCATGAGATCACCACAGAAGTAAGGTTTCTAATATAATGTATGGTAATGTATGTTAAATGCTTCAAAATTACTCCACTAAAATTTTACTAATAATACATTATTACTTCAGCTTTGTGGGTCTCAAGCAGATCAGGTCCCTACGTGTCCACATTGCTCCCAATCCATTTTTAACAACATGCCACCAAAAACCTCACGACATGGCAAAATCTGCAACCCTCCTTGATTCAACTGTTCCTGAAATCATAGTTGAGTCCTTCTCTTAGAAACACTGACACTGAATTCTCTCCTCGTTTTTGCTGGTTTTGTACCATAGCAGTTTGTTATTGGAGAAGTGAAATTATGGAGAAAAACTGTGCAATGAAGATGTATCGTGCACAAGGTTAGCTTCATGTATCACTATAAAAAGTTACTATCAAGGCAACAATTAAAGTTTGGAAGACGACAAACCAGCAACTGTAGAAAGACTTAACAAATCACTTAAGCGGTTAAGTCTTCTCAAGGCTCCAGGGAGAGATAGAAGTGTGCTTTCTGGGGCATGGGAGTATATGTATGCTGTGGACTGAATAGGTTTTTCTTTATAAAGCAATGTCTCCCAAGTCTTTCCGAAAACACTATTCAATAAACTTAATAATAAATATTGAGAATAAGCAATACCTTCTTTATTTGTTTTCTTCCAGTTCTGTCTGTATACTTGCAATCCCAAAGAGACAAATAACTTCAGGCAAAGAGGAAGGAAATAATCTATACAGTTCCCTGGATTCTACATGCCATCTATATTATTAATATATCATACGTAATCTCTTTAAAGCCTTAAAATAGGCTAGACCCTATAAATTTTTGAAGTATGTAAACTGAACGCCTCCTCTAATATATGATTTATAAAATGTTACGACAGTTTACAAAATGTGAAAGTAGAAAGCCAATAAGGTAATGTGTCATATAAAGAAATAGAAAAATAATGTCAATTCAGAAAAGATAGTAAAGAAGGGTAGAAATGTAATTCTAAAGAAAGGAGAAGTGATAAATCTGAATCCATAGTTCTATTTCTCAAGGAAACAACTGAAGAAAGTTCAGGGAACAGAGAACTGAAAACAGAAAAAAAAACATTGTCTTTTTGAACGACAGAAACAGTGAGAGATTCAGAGAAATGAGGCTTTGGACTCTTACTCATAAGATAGTGAGCAAAAGAATATCCCTGCTGCACAGTACTAACTAGAAAGATGAAAAGGGGAAAAACTTTTCTTTTTGGTTATGGTGTTTCTAATTCTATAACCAAGAACTTAATTCTTGAGTTTGGGGTTTTAACAACATTGCTGTCATTTTCATCTCTTCTTGTAACTTAAAATGACTCAGATGAACTTGGGAAACAGAAGAGACAGATCAATACATTCAGGTAAATCAATGTTGCAGTTAAACTCTTCTGGTGTCTGCACCACCACACAAAATCCGAGAGACTGGAATGTGTTTCCCGCTAAACTGCAAGACATAGGCTGGAGAAAAGCCAGGTAGAAAGTGAGAAGCTTCCATTGGCAGACACAGCTTGATGACTACTAAGTATTTGAATCATTGTGCATTATTCAGATCACCATGTGCTCTTTCTTATTGCATAGACCACAAACTCAGATTAAATGATATACCATCACAATACTACGTGGCTGCAAATGATCTATCAACCACCTGTGATAAGCTTCTTGTGCTCCAGTGACTTCTAATGTATCCTTTATACCGGACCAGGTAAAGCAATTTTCTTATGTACAGAGGTATACCAACAATCACAAGCACAGTTCATTGAAATTTATTTTTATATTTTCAATATTTCATGGACAGATAGAGGAATAGGCAATTGCAGCCTAATTTTGTATACAATTAAGTATGATAATTGCACATAAAATGGCCAATTATGGTAATATGTGCCTACAGTTACTCTATATATCTAATGGAAATAGTAAACACAAAGAAATTAGATGTGTAACTATATTTACATTCTGGAAGGCAAAATACATTTTTACAATTGTAACTATCTGTCCAATATCTGTTCATGTTTGAATTTTTTTCAAGAATTAATGGATATTACCTAAAGTATTTGGAATCTTATGCCAATGATCTAATATTGTAGCTTAAAAGTATTCTGATTAAATTTTTAAAGAGATATAAAAATTAAATTTGCCATAGTCCTTTTCTCAAAATGTGGTGATAGACAGATATAGACACATAGAGACCAAACAGTCCAAATCACTGCTGCTGAACAGCCAACTGAAATCTGTTCCCTCTAAATAAAGACTATCCAGCTGAATTTTCATGCAAGGGCATATTTAAAGAAAAGTATATTTTAAAACAGCATGGTGCATAGCTGTAAAAAATGTTATTATTTTCAAACATGCATTGTTGAACATTTTTCTATGGTTTGTATTTGCCAAATTAAACCTAAATTTCAGTTATGACCAACTGGTAAAAATTATAAAGAACTAGGTATCATAGAAATAAAGCAGAAGAATCCCACTTGGGAAAACATGATAAATTACCTACGTATATGCAGTCAGAACAGGTACTGTATATACTGTGTCATTAGAGCTGAGAGGTATTGCTTAATTAGAACTCTAATACAACATCCTTCCCTCTTCAAAATGTAAATTAATCAATTCAGGTATAAAAGACAGAATGATTTTTAACTTTCAAAGAGTAAATTAAAACTTATTTAACCGCCCTCTAAATTCGCCTGCTTTGACAACTTAGTACTACTTATATAAAAGAAATCACCTTAGAACCATGAGGTTTTTCTGAGGAGGGAGGAGAGAGGTTTTATGTAGGTTTTGACAGAGTCTGCCATCTTCAAATTTAGGAAAGGAGGGAATGCCTATCAGAGAGACACAGTTGGTTCAGCATTCCCAGAGACACCCCTAAGATAGTTTCTTCCAGTCCAGGAAATACGCATTAGAGCCTCCACTATCTTCCTCTTCTCACCCCTTATGGAAAGATGGCCATGAATGTCTGTTAGCCTTATGAGTTTCCTCCTTAAGAAATTTGTTTAAAGAAGACATACAGTAAGAATAATAATTGGAAAAAACCTCTAACATGTGAAGATATTTAATAATTGAAATTACGTGATTTCCCTGTTCTCACAAATGCTATTAGTTCTGACAGGTCTTTGGTATGGTCCAAGCTAACTCAGGTGTAACTCTATCTATTTGTAGTAGTAGTAGTTAGGTAGTTTGTCTTAGTATTTCTAAAGTAACACACTATTTTGAAGCAATATATGAAAGATGTGAAAAAATATTCTTGAAGAAACTACTAATAATTTAGTACTACTGCCTATATTCTCAGTCCCAAGTGTAAACACTTGTTCTTGGAGTACAGAAAGTTTATGTGTTAACAGCCATTGCAGTGAGTAGGTAATCTGCTATACAATGTCTAAATGCAAGTTACCATTCTGTAATTAGAGCTTCAAATCTGATATCCAAGGGCTAAACAATACATCTAGTGCTAAAGAAGATTAGACTTCTTGTAGGAATTTCAGATGCTTCATTACATAGAAACTGTAAGATAGACCCTACAACTGAGAGATTCTAAAAACAGAAAAGTCAATAAATCAAAACCAAGTGAAGACATACAAAATGTAAGATAAAAAGAGTAGAATATTATGCAAACACAGTATAAAACAGAAGTCTCTAATATTCATAATTAATAATATTTTAAGCAAGCAGTTACTCTTACGGCCCAATGGACCTCTTTAAGAAATAAGGAAACCATCCTGTGATTCAGCTTTTAATCTTTTTTTAATTTTCTTCTTCGTTATTTGTTACATGGCTCTCTTTGTGGGCATGATCCTGACATTTTGTAGCCCTTCTCTGAATCTATTCCCTTCCTCATACAGTCAGAACTCGTGTCTATATGGCTGCAAACTGAAGTGTGCCTTCACAGCACTGGATCTCATCAGTACTGCAGGCTGTACTAACACCATTTAGCTACTAAGAATGCATGCCACTGCCAAATGTACAACGTATCTTGAGGTCTATTCATTAGAGGACAGATTAGCAAATACATTCTAGAGACAGTTATTGTAGCTTGGCAGTCTAATGGTAAAGAAGTAAAGGACATATCGAGAGAATGAATGGCTATCATGAATATTATATAGGCCTTTGTGAAGCTTCTATTAAGCCATGAGTAAATTCAGGACTTGTGTTGCATAGTTGTGTAGTCCGGTATTTTTGCCAAGAAAGTTTTAAAGCTCCTGAAGTCCATGCAAGTACTGTACAACCAATAATGACTTAAGTGGTGGATAAACAGACCTTTCCAAAGAATGCTCCCCTTCTTTATTATCAATGCATTTTGATGATGAACTTGAAAAGGAAGACTTCCTAAATCACAGAGCCATTTCTTTGTCACATAAGCCCAATGTCAAGTAACTCAATGAGACATTTGTTATGAAAATCCTTTTGCTATTTTCTCAGTTATGAAACAAGCATTTAAGTTAAAATTAAAGAAGGGTAGAACAATGTAAGACTTCAAAAACATCTATCTATATACTCAGTATATAGAAGAATAGTGAACTACAGATGAAAAAATACAAAAATTAGGCTTTAATGACTAAAGAATTAACAGAGAAGAAAAAAAAAAAAACCAGAAACAATATATCCAAGACAGAGAAAGGAATTATGTCAGTATGGTCTTACCATATGTATTAAATCAGGAAGACAGTTTCCTGAGAAGTCCCACCAATAACTTAATAATTCTGAAAAAATAAAGGAAGTTTGCCTGCAAAGTATTCAGTCCGAATCAAAATCAAATCTACTGACTTCCCATTGTAATTCACCTTTACTTATGTAAACATTGTAAAAAATAGTAATCTGGTTGACTCTGATGAAAAAGTTCTTCCAATATATTGCTGCAATTGGCTCAAATCAAAAAGATTGATCCTGCATATTTTTCTTCAAAATAAAGTAGAGTAAGAGTTGCAAGGGAAACTGAAATTCATCCACATAGTCTCTAACTTTAGGGGAGGGGGTAAAGTCAAATGCAAAACTTGAGAAATATTAGTTTTGCAGGTTATTTTGAAAATCAGTTGTACTCACTGAAGTCCTTGAGGTGCCACGGGGAAAAGCATATAACGTCTGTGCTTCATTTTGATGATTTGAAGAAGTCAGTAAATACATTAGATATTAGGTATTTACATATTATGAATGCATCTTGAACTCTTCTTCTCATTTCAGAAATGTCAAACAATATTAAAGAAATGTGAATGGTTTTTGTGACCATTATGATTTGATGCACGGGTAAATTTACAGAACACTGAATACACCAATTTAAGATAAAAGACACACTATATGCATAAAGAAAAACAGAGAACCTCACCAAGAAATTTCAGAGCCAGTCACATTTTTTCTGGTAAATTTTTCACTATACATTTGCCGTAAAAACATACTTTAAGCTTTATATTAATTCCTGATGTTACTTGACTTTTTTTTTCCTGTCAAAAACCACTACCTATTGACCTGTATGTGGCTGTTATTTATTAACCATTTTTCATTGATTACAATTTGTTGTCAGTTATGTAATTTATGATGAGAATTGCCACAATAAACGTTTGTGCTATCCAGATGTCCTTATATAAATACACATGTAAGAAGTTCGACTGTTAACAGTACACCTTTTTATTTGATTTGGTACTACTTAATAACAAGTCTTGATCTCATACTACATATTTGACCTTAATTCAACTTATAATTTACATCATTTTAAGTCTTCATCAATGAAGTTAAATACTTATATTTTTGTAATTTCACCATATTTTATAATTTAAAACATATAACATAAATGTCAATTAAGAATCCTGTATTAAACAGTGACAGAGTTCTTCTTACATAATTGTTATGCTGTAACTATGTTCTTTGTGTAGTTGCCAGTCTATATTCCACAACCCCCACAAAATAATTGTCCTTTAACTGTTTGACTCTTTACTGTTTTTTTCCAATTTTATGTAATAGGAACAGCAGGGGGCATTGAGAGCTTTAGATGCTGGATATGGCTCGATATGATGCTACTTAACTGCATTTTAAATGTGTAGAATGCAGCTCAATCAACTTACAGTATACCATATTAAATTCATTATTTCATGTAATATACGTTTAAGCATCATGAGCTTGTCATTTACTTCTTTGTTTGTTGTTCATTACTGTCACCGAAGTTTTTAGAAGGATTTCATTTACACAGAATTTTAGTAAGATAGATGAAAAGCAAAAGTTTATTACAAATTGCTTGCAATAATTTTTAAATCATGAAAAAAAATTATTTTCTTAAACTGAAAACAATTACAAACAAACAAACCAGGGGGAAAAAAGTCTGACTTGAGTACAGTATTTGCTGTGGTGAAAAAGTGCAATGAAAAAATGGCTGTCCTTCTCTCCAACTTTCAGAAGAAAAAGGAAGGAAGAAAAATAGGCCAGGATTTCTTATAAGCTGTAGCTTCAGTTATACAGATGTGAGAGAAGTTATGAGAGCTATGAAGAGTCACCTGCCTTATAGAGCCTATCTGCAAATAAGCAAAAGCCTCAGAAGCCCACAGGCTCATAAGAACGTACAACAGGTATTAGAGTGAGGATGCCACTTAGGTGTTATTTGAGGACGTGTGGGTGGAGGTGGCTCTATATCAAGATGGCATTTCCCTCTTTTCTTGGTACAGATAGTATTCTCCTGCGCAGAGTGCTAATTACCAGGAGAAAGTAGGTGCCAGCAAAGTAGTCCACATAGTAAAGCTGGCCATTGTCCAGAGCGGAACACCAAGGAATTTACAAGGTCAGAAAAACTTCATACGCTTAACTTCCAAGTTTAATATGATCAAGATTCCCTTAAAAGACTTAAGCTGTAACATTTCTTGTGAGGCTTGCTAACGCATTTTCTATTTTTTTTTGGGTAAGATGAATAGACGGCAAGATGACCTGTTTGAGTCAGTGGGGTATATAATCAGATTTATCCCTGCTTATTTGCTCCAGTAATCAAACCCGACAGCACATCTAATCAAGTTCAAGAATATGCTAGAAGTCTGAATGTGTATGTGGCATTTTCTGTCAGTTTACAATCTCTTCAAGAAATGGGTGACATGAAATCAAAAAGTTGCTTTTTGTTTTGTTGCATAAATAAAACTGAAAAAAATACTCTCCTTGGCAAAAGGTAATCCTACGATTCAAATGGTTTCATCCTACAAAAAATGGCTAAGGAGAATGAGAAAATTGGAGAAACTCCTAATCTGCAACTCAAAGCACAGAATGACAAATTTTGGGGTTTGTGTTTTTTTCTTGGATGAGTCAGAGTATTATAGGATTTCCCAGAAGACTGCCACAGGGGCATATTTTATTACACTATTTTCCTATATTTCCTGCACTAATACTTGATATTCATATCATAGTTGTTGTATGGATTCAAACGGCTAAGTGTATAACCTCAGATATCAAATAGATTATTCAAGGAATGGCATCTCACACTGGTTAAGTGTTTACAATCGAAGTCTCACATTTCTTATTTTCTAACCATTTGCCTTCTGGCCACACTAATACAGGCATTGAGAGTGCAACTCATTTGTTAGACTGCACTTTACCATTTGAGGTGCTGTAGGTTACCAGGTGTTACCCCACCTGGAGTTCATCACCCACTCCACCAGGACCTGGAAATTCTGAGCATCCTCTGTCCTAATTTCAGGCCCATGCACATATCTGAGTTACTGCAGGGCCTTAGAAAGTACTGGATTCCTGTGTTTGGGCAATTGAATCCTGCCTTACTTGTGGTCACCTGAATAACCCTGTTGGCTCCTGTGGTTACTATGACCAGACCTCTGTGGAACCAAATGGTGCAATGTAGGCAATGTAGACATTAGATCTGAACCTAGAGCTGACTCCCACCTTTACATTCCAACAACAAGCTGATTACCCTGGCAAATTCAATAGCTTAATGGTTACTACTTGTATTTCACAGCCTACCTCCAGTCCTTAAATGGTTCAGCCTACTACAGATAGTGTCAAATTTTAATCACCTTCTTTCGCTTTTTAAATAATGGCCCTATGAATGGACCACATAAGAACACACAGATTAAAAACAGAAAGTGTGCCATATGGTTGACAACAGAATGCAACATACTTATACTGCCCTTACCCACCGTAATCCTCTCATTACTTTTTTTCTTGGTATATATGTGTCCTTTCTGCTGCACATGCATACATGCAGTCCATCTGGTTTGTCATTTATATCTGCATATCTGTTAATTTACAGTACACTTAAAATATACCAAGGATGGTAATTTTATCTCAAAGGTTTTCAGGACTTTAATATTTAATATAGTAAAAAAGACACAGAGTTTATGGAAATTTACATCCATACATAAAAGATGCATAGAGTATGTCTTTACACGACTTTTCAAAAACAAGCAGGAAGATTTTTCCATACTTTTTAAATCCAATATTCTTTAGGTCAGTGCCCATGCAGAATAAAAGTATCTGATATGCTTATAATGGAATATTTTATCAGTCTTGGAGAAGAAACTACAGAAACAATGAAAAATAGACTTTTTTTAAACTTGGTTATAAATTTGTCAGACCTAAAGAATATTTGCTTCTCTTTTCTGTTGATGCACACAAATATTTTTTATCACTTCACCTGTTCATTCACTCTGGAGTGTGATGGTCCATGATGGATGAGAATCTTCACAATATCTACATCTCCTCTCCAAGCAGCCAAGTGAATAGGAAAATAACCCTTATTATCTGCCACATTAGTTGATGCTTCATACTGAAGTAATTTGAGAACTATATCCCTGGAAAACAGGAGGTAAATCTAAAAATTGACAGAAAGCTTATTTTATTAAGTTTTTACATGAACATACATATTACCAAAATCTTAATCCTGGATAATAATAAAAAACCCCTGTATGTCAAGAGAAACATACAAAAAGTGAAGACCAATAATTTCCAAAAATTAAGCAGATCATAAAACATTGCCAAAATGTCATTACTTTTAGTGATTCTTACTTATGAATACCACCAATATTATCATCAGCTCTCTGAATCTGTTTCTTTCAATAGGATCTGGCCACAAAATCACTTTTAGAATTTGCCAGTCCAAGCAATGTGCATGTCCCTCAAGGCAAACCTTCCAGGCATTAAAGGCAGAGAAGTACTCTTGTCCCCAGCATTGCTGAGTTCTGGAGGCAGGAAGACAAGAGGGTAGTTTTATGGACATGATTCTCACAGTAAGGCTTAAGCAACAATTTTTCCTCTTCTTTAAAGCATTACCTCAAAAATAGTTTAAAAACAATTTAATGATGATCTAGCTAGATACATAATATCTTCTATGAAATAACTGCTTCTATTTTCATTTCCCACATGCAGCTTCCTGATAGCAGTGAGGGAAGAAGTGACTTATTATCATTTTAATTCTTTTTATATTACTTTCAGTATTTTTGGTGTGACTTATCATACATTAAATGAAAGATTAGTATAAGTTGGTATATTCCATCCCTGATTTTTAAGCAGTCTCCTGTACTTAACTTCAAAAGCTAAACGTAAAAATTAACTGTGTGATATGATAATGTTATCAAGTATCTCAGAGAGTAAATAAATTCTGTCTTATTGCTGCACTTGTCATCTCAGAGTGACATAGTCAGGCCTCATTAGTTGTTAAGCTAACAGAATCTATGATCCAGTGTAGGCAGTTCTACACACATTTTTTACTGAATATGGGAACACTGACTTTCTGATTTGGCCCAAAAAATCAGTGGGGGAAGGAAGCTCAGTGTAGCCTATGTTATGTCTAAAAATTAAACCCTTGACTACAAATTAAGACTGAAGACAACTCTGAGGCAATTACTCTCCCAACCTTGATGGAACCTTATTTAATTTCCTGTCGAGAAAAAAATGTGGTGAGTTATGAGGGACTATAACCAGGTCAAAAGAAACTCTCAGTTAACTTCAAAAGATACTGAAGTCATCTCATCATATCTAAGCTTTGAGGAGAATCTAAGCTGGATTTTGGTTACTCCTGACAAGGTCAAATAACATGAAAACAACCAAGAAAGAGCAGCTCCACTACAGAAAGACTTTTCCTACACAGAAAGTTCCAGAAAAGTAAATCCTGAGGGAAACTTTTTAGCACACATAAGGTTCCAGAGACTTCTCATATTGTAATAGTTGGTGTTGTAATACATGGCCTGATGAAAGCTAGATGTACAGTTGTTTGAAAGGGACACAAAACAAAGGAAGCATAAATTCAGCTTAGTTTGAGAAAATTAGCAAAAAAAAACCCTCCACAGTTGAAATCTATGGATAACAATATACAGGAACTATTGGGATGAGTGAATTACAAGATTCAAGCTACAAAATAGAACGTACATCTCCTTCATCCTTCAAGAATGCCCTGACCCACCACACTTATCTAGGGTGGTTCTTTTTTAGCACTTTGTTAGAACTTTTTCATTTTGTAGAAATAAATTTCAGAGAGAAGACTGAGAGTCCTTAGCCCAGTAACATTATTGGGCTAAGTAAAATTATTTAGGGAAACTGAGATTCCAGTGATTGCCCCAGATATGACTTAATTACTTATATAAATCAGAATAGTTTCTGAAGGAAAGAATCTATCTCAGAATAATGAAGGAGGAGGGAATTCACCACATACAGTGATCAACAGGGATTTGAATACTGGTGTCCAACAAATGTCCCAGCCAAAAATTACTGGTTGGGTCATTAGGTCTTATGTTCTCACTTTTCCTAAAAAACTCCAAAATATCTCAGGTTCAACCTAATGTAAAGTGAGAAAAATTATAATCCCAAAATATTTAAAGAACAAGAACTTCCCCTAAGGGGGAAGATTCTTGTGTCAAAAGATTGTACATAGTTTTGATATTGAATTTCAAGTCTGAAATCTGAAATAGAGTGTGAAGTTATTTATTTGTATTGACTAACAAAATTAGAACCACCAGGTGTTTTTCCAATTCTCTTGCTGACAGTACTTGCATTGCAGCAGGAGTGATATGATGGCTTGGATAACAGGTCCTGAAACTTCATGATGTATTTCAGTTTACTTTAATATAACAGTTTCAGTGTTTATAAAGTAATAGTTTTAGTTTGCTGCGTAACTATTGGTTTGTTGTCAATATTAAACATACTAAACTCAGTTTTTATCTATTTAAAACCAGCAATCTTTGCAAGCTAACACTTCAGCTTTCGTCAGCCAAAAATGAGCCATAGCACAACAAGAAAACCATAAATTATGAACAAAAAGGCTGAGTTTAACAGACCATATTAAGGACTTAGACCTAATTCCATGGAAGTAAAAACATACTAATAGATGATTCTGATCTTCCTACAGAGCTCAAACTTTAGAAAATACACAGTATCTAATTAACCAGTATTTTAACTTCACATACTTATTTAGAAGCAGCATATCCTATATTCACCAAAAGATTAATCTTTCCTAAAGACAATATGCAGGTTTCTAGAATATAATTAAAGACACATCCTAAAGTATCTGTGAAAGAATGCAAAAATGGTGCCATGAAAAAATTAAACACATAATTATTATGTATATCTTATGGACAGTCCAAAATCACACTAAAGTTAGTTCAAGTCACTCTTAATTTCAGTTGTTTTTTGAGCAGCTCCTTATCTCCCACAGAAGAATTAAGTAAAGCTTTATGTTAATTTTTTTTTTTTTAGTGAAAATCCAGTCAGTGTTAATACCATCAATTTGCAAGCAGAATAGTTGGACTGTATTAAGTGGGGCAGCTCTTACCTTGATTACAATGGGGTCCATCCCACTAGAAATTTCTAGACTTCATTAATAACCTTTCTTTCTTGTTCTGCCTTAATAACAACATGCAGTTGGCAGAATAATACAATGGAGGTAATATGTAGCAAGGGGAAAATGTAACAGCAGAGGTAACATAGAACAAATAACAGGGTATAAAACAAAATGCCTAGCAAGTTTCCAGATTCTTTTCAATGCCTTAAATAGTTCCCCTGCACTGATGTGCCTGTGCAGCGTCCCTCAGTGGGGGTTTTGCATGCTTTCCCCTAAAATTGTTGAGATATGCATGTGGCAGCTTGGATGGACAGCAGCACCTTGGGAAAAGCTGTAAGGTCATTTTTTTTTTCTGCCTCCAAGTGAATAATTACTAAATATTCTTTTCATGTTACTTTTGCTTTGATAATGATTCATCTTTAATGTTCTTTTGTTTAACAAAATTGATTTCTTAAACGTTCAACATACTATATGTGTGTACATACACACAAAAGTATACTGCAAAATTTTCTCCTGCAATTTCCCAGCAACTAAAAGCACTAGAGCCACAACTAGTAACAATAATAAATTTACTCAAAATCGAGGAAGAATTTGGAAGAAAAAGTATATAATCAATAGCTTATAAACTGCATTTCCCATTTGTCATTACTATGTGCTGATACTGATGACAGCGTCAAAACATTTTATATTAATATATCCCATGGGAAATATGACTATTTCAGTAAGTCAAAGTTTGTCAACTTTCAGTGAAAACCTCAGTGTGATGTTGTATTTTTCTACATTACACAGCTAAATACCATTCTACATAAAAAACAAATGTGAGGTACTTACTTGTGTCCGTTTAAAGCTGCGTGATGTAAAGCAGTATAACCTGAACTGTCTGTGCAGTTTATGTTTGGTCCTCGCCAGATGCTGCAAATAAAGCAAAATTATGAAGTAAATTTTTTGCCTTGACAAGTACAGAAGTATCAGAAATCTGATGTACAAATAATCTAAAGATTTCTGCCACAAGTGTGATAAAAATTTAAGAGATTAATTACCATGAAAAAATATTAAATAGCAAATGTCATCTTGATATCAATATAATTTATTTATAAAAATAATTTTACACATTCATTTTTATAGTAGTCATGAACTTTATGTAGGGCAGTCTTAAAGACTAATGACTCTTCTGTCATTTCAATTAGATCTGTTCTCCCTCTATTACTCTGGTAATTACACTGAGGATATAATCTGATTTTGCACTACTTTTTCACAAGTATGTATTCATTGACTTTAGGTCAGTTAGTCTAGAATCAAACAAACATAAGATTTATGAGAAGCCCTTTAAAGGGGCAGTAAACGTATTCTTTCTGCTTGACTTGATATTTTAGCTCCCACTTTAACTAATTACATTTTTTTAATATATTAAATGTATATTTAAAATAAGTTAATTAAATTATGTTTCTTCTTTTTTGTTTTTCCTTTTGTTGTCTTTCTGTATTTTACAATCAGCTTCATTATACGTCTGGTGTAACCAGTTTCAGCACCTATTAGGGACTCTTCAAAAACCAGTAAAGGAGATATTTTGTTTCAGCGTTGAAAAATATGGCTGCTAATCTACCAAAACCAACAACAAAACCAAACACTGGACACTGGATAACAGAAGCATATTGAATATCCGCAGGTTTTTTTCCAAACTACTACATTTGAAACTAACTGTATCCTTTGTAGAAACAATTTATTCTGTATCACAGTTTCCAAGGGTTAGTATTAAAATTTCCAAGACACAAAATTATAAGCCCTGAATTACAATCTGTTTTCTTTAGTTTCTAATACTGTGTTAAACAATCATTGGCAAGCCACATTTTCGCTTCACTTTGCACCTTAGAATCAAGTGCTGTAGCTTAAAGAAAACAAGCTGAAGCAAACAGGTAAAAGGAGTTCTTCATATACTGACATTTTTCATTATCTACACGAACAAAATGACATGGTATGCTTAACATATGTTTTTTAAGAATTATATACTAAAGAATCTGTAATTTACTACCTATAAAATGGAATATATGTATATACACACACAGAGAGTATGGAATACTGATGTTAGACTGTACATCAATACACCTCTTTTTCACTGTGTGTGTTTGAATGATTCATTAGCTCATAAACTTAAGCAGTTGTTTTCCTGCAAGTAATACTGTGTGCATACAGAATTATTTGGGTGATACACTGTGTTCTGCAGTGAGCATAATTCTACATAATGCTAGGTATCTCACCTCTCCCTGCAATTTAATTTCTTGGAAGAACAGAATTGAATTATTTTCTTAGGTGCAAAGAAGAAAAAAATTAGGGAACCTTTTTTAAAAATCTCCTCAGACACTTACAGATGGTCTTTTCTACAGAAGGCAACTCCCAGATAAGAAAAGTCATTCTAATCTTTTTAATTAAAGGAAATTATTTTAATTTCTTGAAATAGTAAAAATTGAGTCCTCAAACTGATAGCTTCTCTGTAATAGACAGATGTGATTTGTACGACGAAGAAAAACTGTCTTTATCTATTGGAAGGAAAGAAGTTCTTATCTATTGATACTCTATAACCTGTCATGCTTTTGCATAATTTTTATTCATTATTTTCTTATTTATTGGATTATATTTCCATCACTTTATTTATATCACCTTGTAGGAGAATGAAGAAAAAAAAAAAGTGGTATAGAAAGTAGCATTTTAAATATTAAAAAAATACACTAACAACCAGAATAAAATTTACTTCGTTTTGCTAGCTTGATTGCTTTGGCTTACAGTTGTTAGGACTTGTCAGTTGGGTGTTTTTTTCAAAATGCAAGGGATCCATGAGTTCATACATTATTTATGATGCTCTGGGCATCATGAATAATATTTTTAAAAAGCATTTAAAAAATCAAATAAAAACTAAAAAAAAACCCACGCCACCCTCCCCCTCCCCCCCCACAAAAAAAAAAAAAAAATCTGCATTCTTTCTCCCCTATTAATCTAATTTAATTCATGCATTATTTAAAACATTATTGTACTTCCTGGGTCTGGTCTTAGGAAATAGTGTTCTAGTGAAACTATACTGATTAAAAAATAAAACAGTATTCTGAAACTTTATTAGTGAGTATATAAATGCACCTATGGGACAGCTCCTCAGGACACGCAGGTTGGGAGGTTGAGAGACAAAGGACAAAAGACAGTGAGTAAACCCTGATGACTCAGAGACACAAGACAGGATGGACAAACTAATCACTGTCAGCTTCCAAGCGGTACACAAATACATGCCCAAAATCACAGCTTGATTAACAAACTAAAGAACGCAACAAACACGAGCAGGACTCGGCTACAAGCACCTCTTTTCCCTCGGACCAGTGCAGAAATCCCCTCCTAGGCTGTCTTGCATTGCTACAGTATTGCAACATTATTTCCTACAAATGGAATGCAGGTCCAGCATACACAGGGCCTATTTATGCATTAGCAACTGAGAATCAAATTCAAATTGGACAGTCTGTGAATTCAAGTTCTTACACTCTAAATCTTCCAGATTCATCTAAAGCTCTTCTCTTGCAGTCGGATTACAGCGGGGCAAATGTCCAGTTGTATATTAGCTACATAAAAAGCATCTGACTTCAAAGAAGAGTAGAGTGGGGATTGAGAAAAATCCTAAAGAGCCCTTCATTGATATCATAAACACATACCGTTTGTGAAGAATTATCAAATATATTGATTTATCTGCATATTAAAACACCTGTGAAAGCAACACTAAGGAGAACCTGGCACAAAATAAACACCATTCAACCACCAGAAAAGAATACTTGTTGACAGAAGATTAGCAGCTCTTTAGAATACTGTTAATATTGAATGTTCTCAAAAACATGTTTTTCTAATACTTTGATGCAGTCAATAATCAAACTTCTTAAATTGGCATGCATTAGTCAGTTAGGAATTTGTTTTCCTATGTACATCAGTAAATTAGGAAAATCTTCCTATCACTTATTGAATTTTAAGAAAGTAACTGAATCTAATTTTTGTGCAGAAAATTAATTTTTATTCAACAATTAATTAAAACATGATTATCAATTAGTTTCTTCCATTTCATCTTGCCAAAGTAAGGTACAAAGAAACTGAAGTCTGTTATGCTATTTACATTATTGCCAAAAGCAGAGATCTCCTTCTTACAGTCTGCTCTCACTATGGACAAGGAATACTGACCTTTTGAACTGACATCAAATATTAACTGAAAATACTCTTTACTTGGCAAGAAAATTAGCATTTTTTTTATGAGCTGAAGATAATTACATATAAAGAGTAGTATTTCAAATGAAACATGAAAATAACAGACTAAAAAAAAAGATGATTAGTTTATTTATTTTTTATTTTGCTAGACTTTTTGCCACATGGAAAGAAATAATTGTGAAGTGGCTGTTGTTAAACACATAAAAAAACAAAAGCAAGGAAATCAAAAGTTAATTCAACTAATCATCACACAGGCACACTCTCCATCAACAGTGTAAGAACTATGCATGCAAGATATGCATAATTTTTCCATCGCATTTCCTCTTTGTTCATATACCTTCATCATATTATTTCATTATCATTATAATATGTCATCGCTATTTAGTTATCCATGAACTAATACTTCTGCTCTTTATATGGTAGTTTTGCTAAGGTGAAAGGAAAATATTTTTGGTAACCAACGATAAAAGTCTTTAAAAGCCTTAGAAAGCTGCCTGATGACTGTCTGTCTACCCACTGGTTTTACTAAGCCTTCTCTGAAAACTGACTTTGGAATTTATTTATTCTCTGAAATGAAGGAGCAAGGAGGAGGATGACACTGGATGGAATCAGTTGCTCCAGAGAAGATTGAAAAAGCATGGTGTTCAAGCCTGCATACTTTAGGGTCTAAACCCTGTTGAGGCCTGAGAGGCTCACATAGCCTGGTCCTCACCCTTCCCACTCCTCACCTTCTCTCCTAGGTCCTCAGTACTTTTGGAAGCTCTTCCTAGAGACACCCTGGCTCTTCAGTTCAACAGAAGCAGTGAATCTAATCTTGCCCAGTCAGTTTTAATAGCGGGAAATTTTAAGCTTTGTTCTCTTTCCATTGATGTCGGTGGCAAACATCAACCAGATATATCTAGTTTCCTTATTGTTCCTCTGTTCCATGGAATAAATACCTATTACAGGAACTTGTGTTGTTCTTTATATTACAGGGAACTTGTGGAGGGCCAAAATCTTCCAAAATTTCCATGTTTACTGTTAATCCGACAGAAATACATTGGCTAAAGTTATTTGAGCCCACAGCCAGGCCATTGTATTCATTAGTGCTCTGCCTACATTCATACACATGTTCAGTTGTGTCAGCTGAACTTATACAAAGTACATGGACAATTTTACAGAGAATTTTTGAAAATGCAAACTTTTATACAATAATATGTATCGTCATTCAGACACACAACAATAATGGTACTTACGGTGAATACCAGAAAAATAGCTCCCATTCTCTATTTTATGCAAAAGTATACCAAATGGACAACTATCTTGCTCTAACCTATACAAATTGATATTGTTACTTATCAAATATAGAAGAGTATCATTTTAGTAAATGTGGTACGAGAACTACAGGTATAGGCTATATTCCATAAGCTTAGCATGGGAACATAAAACTACTGTTGGATGAAGGCATTACAGGTAAATGGAGGTAATTAAATTCACTCTTCTTTGGCAATGAAGACTTCCAGAGCTAAAGGAAATTCTCCCATGTACCACATGTGTAAGATACAAAGATTCTGCTCAGGTATTTCAATTCCCTTACCATCAAGGAATTACAGACATGGAAACTTGAAGAACTAGTCAGGACAAGCTAAGAAAGGAGCATATATATTGGATTCATACCAAGGAGCATATTTGATCCCTTATTAGAGGGA